TCTAAGTGCTTCTCATTTTGGTATGTTTAAAACCTCACATCTTATCTCTCAGTATTCTCTACTTGTGGCCATCAATCATTATCAACTAAGCCTTGGCTATTACTCTTCCACTATAACCACTTTTCATATATTAATGCATTTGAAATGTGCTATAATAATAAAAAAAAATCAATACATTTTACTTACATCTAACTAGATATTTATACATTTCTAAAACTAACTAGAATTTAATTTCTCTTTTCTTTGCTTCTTAATCTCAATCCCAACATGTAGTAAGGTTTTGATGATTTTCTACAAATAATATTAAATCCAACAAATTCAACATAAAAAAATTATAACATATGCAATAAATTTCAGTATTATTTCAAAAACATGAATAAAATCAATACATATAATACTAATGCTTTGTTAGATCTTAATTTATTTGTGGATTCACACTATCAAGGATATATCAAAATAAAAAAAGGAAATGAGCAAAAAAAAAGAAGAGAAAATTGGGAGAAAATAGGTCCATTTTCTTCTATTTTTAGATCCTCAATTTTAATACAATGATTGCCTATATTAATATACATCACAATAAAATATTTATTATATGTGAATCCTAATAGATCGTAAATATATCTTTTGTGTCTTCTTCTAGCATGAGCATTATATTTAATATTATCATGGTAATGTCTTCTATTGGTAACTGTTCCTCATAAATATTTTTCCTCTGACATCTTTTATGTGTTGTTGTTATCAGCCAAGTCATGAGTCGATCTTTTGGGAGAGTTAATCTCCAAGGTGAGGTGAACTCCTAGAAGAGTTGATCTCTTATGTGAGTTTATTTTGTGAGTAGGTTGATTTTTTTGGGAGAGTTGATCTCTTAGAGAGTTGATTTATTGAGTTAAGTGATCTCCCAGGAGAATTGATATTCTTGGAGTAGTTAATTTTTTGAAAGAGTTGCTTTCTAAGCGATTTTTTTTTAATGGTAGAGTTGATTTTCTTGGAGAGTAGATCTTTTTAGGAGAGTTGACATATCGAGCAAGTTGATCTTCTTTGAAAGTTGATCTTCTTTGGAAGTTATTCTCTTGGAAGAGTTGATCTTCCTAATGGAGTTGATCGATCTTCTTGGATAATTGATTTTGCTAAAAGAGTTTTTTTTTGGAGAGTTGATCTCCAAGAAAAGTTGAACAGGTTGAGTTGTCTAGTCCTATTGTTTTACATGATGAACTCAATCTATGAGCTTTTAGCCCTAAATATTTTGTTCTATGATTCTCTTGCATATTTGGTGGGATATTGGTAAAAGAACAAAAAAGTGAATAAGAAGTTTTGTTGCTTCTTGGTAATTAGACTTGTACCTTGCTTGTCACAATAGGACGAGTTCCAAATCTTTATTATCAGGCCAGTTATATGGTCAATCTATACGAGATAAGTTAAGTGAATTTTAATTAACAATATACTTCTTCATTAAGAAGGGTTTTGCATTGTATATAGCCAATATAATTGTTAAGCTCTCATGGCCTCAATCATCCATGATAAAGCCAATATATGATATATTTTAAATTACTGAGTTTGTCAGACATTTCATTTTTTTTATAAGATTTTTTTTTTTTTAATAAAATAGAAGTGGCTTTCAATAAGTGTTGAATGTCCTTAACTCTCTTATAGGAAGCCATCTTGACGGCACTTTAGCTACATCTATAGAATTTTGACAAAATGGCCATTATTGCTCATCTTAGGGGAGGAATCTTGTTAGCTTAGCTTTGTTATTGTTTATTTTTACTAAGTTGTTTGTTTGTTTAACTTGATGAGAAACTCCTCATAGAAGGCAAGCTCCTTAAGTGGCGTCACTAAACTCGATGCTTCTATAAAAAATTATGTCTCTCTTGTACGATTAGATTGACTATTTTCCTATAATGGAACTCAATCTTAAAGAAATTCAGATAATCTTGTTAAGTTTGTATTATCCTTCACTTGGTGCTTATTGTCGTAACACATGGAGTAGTCGTAACTTCTCAACTTTGTTAAAGCTGATATCTTATGGCTTTTAATCCTTTGGTTAACTATCTTCATATTTTACATAGTCAAGTTACAAGTAAAAAGAGTTTCTCCATATGCATCTTTAGAATTGGACTACCACTCTAAGTAAATCTTACTGCAAAAAGTGAGTTTTCCGAGCTAAGAAATGAGATGTGTTCCCTGAGTGCTATTGACGAACTTGCACCATATGGGAATTAAAGTCTGCATTACTTATTATGTATATAGGTTTATATACATTAATTTATTTAAGTGGAGTTAACAACAAACATAACACAGAAAATAAAATAAATAGAAAATAGCATAAATGCATGAAGAGAATTCTCCCTTCATTAACCATGTTGTTAGCGAATTATTTATTTATTTATTTATTATATTTCTTGTGTAACTCTCATTCTTTTGTGGTATGATTCACGGTCAGTGAGCCTTTCAGAATATTGAATAAAAAAAAAATTAAGCATAAATAACAACAATAAAATGGGAGAAAATAAGTTCATTTTCTGTCTATTTTGAAATCCCCTTTTTTTACTATAATAATCACTTAATGTATCGATGGGTTGGTTTATATGTTACAAATAACAAATTTATCATGCTTAAATCATAAGTGATCTTTGATTTATCTTGTATCTTATAGTACGAGTTTTATAATTTTATTGATACACCATCAACAAATTCGCATCATTTTGGCTTGAATCTCACGACATTACACAAATTTTGGTGCTTATTTTTTGAGCGAGAAATATTTAAACTTCGATTAAAAGTCATCCAGAGTTGCAACTTAAGCAAACTTATAGTCAAATTGACTGTCTCAATGAGAAGGACCCAATGGTACCAAAATTGGTCAAATTTGAACTAAATCAAGCCCTGGCAATGTCATTAAACCACTATTAGAAGCTTTTCAGACATTTTTAAAAAGATCAAACGGATGCTGAACCCGGCGAGCATATAGTCAAATCGAGCGTTTCAACAAGCTGAATTCAATGAGCCTAAGATCGCTCAGTTCTGACATCATTAAAGTGCTCGAATGGCCACCGAACTCAGTCTGACGAAGAGAATAGTTGAGGATCGTTCAATCATAGTGGTTCAAATTTCTTCATTAATTACAATTGGGCCTATATAAATATAGCCCCACATCTCTCACGAGGGAGGAAGGAAGCTTGAAGCCTGAAAAAGATTGAAACTTGGAGATGAAGCTGAAGCTGCCTCCTACTTCTACAGCCGACGACCACCACCAATCACCATTGACCACCACTCACCGATTGCTGCCGATCACCATCGATCAGCGTCAACTACTTGCGACAGCTGAAGCTGCCTCCTACTTCTACAGCCGACGACCACAACCAATCACCATTGACCACCACTCACCGATTGCTGTCGATCACCATCGATCAGCGTCAACTACTTGCGACAAAGCATCATGCAAAGCAACAACTGACATCGTAGAGTTACGAAACAATCTTTGAAGCAACGTATCATTCCGAACACTGGGCTAACCTCAATTACAGTGCAACAACACACTCAAATACTATGTAACAACACACGCCAAAGACAATGCAAAAGAACATCTCAAAGATGGGGGTAACCACACACCTCACATTCGCTCGTGCTTTTCCAAACTCCGAGTCCTGCGACCTACGGATGTCATTACAACTCACCATTACGGCTGACATTATCAACTATGGTCTAAGTGGTCCACAACTCATGCATCTCCCGACTCAAACCCTTACAACTCATGAACATTTTTGCAGCTCACCACTATGGGTTATACAACTTACTACTACGGTCTCTATGGTCAATCAATGCTCTTGAAGCAACCATCTATGACTCATGTGGTCAACTACTGTCATGATTACCAATAATGACTCATACAACAAGCTGACACTATAATTATTGTCTACAACACTCACGACGGACTACTACCTCCGCGACAATTGACTATGACTATTGCAGCCTGCAGTCGCTAAGAACTACAGTCATATTACAGCTATATAACTTTGTCAATTCATCTTTCTTAATTTGGGAGAAAAGTGAACATGTGTACTCATCATTCATAGTGGATTATTTCACCCATACTAGGCCCCATGATTTTACACGTAAAAACTACTGGTGTTTATGATCATCATTTCTATTACCTAAAGTGTGTGTTGGGTTATCGTGCAACACGAAGACGATAAATAATCATTACTCTACCACTGTAAATCTTCTAGCATGCATCAAGTATTATCCTCATAAAGCATTGTACTTGCCAATTGTTCCTCAAAGCTACTTTTTCAAATATATTTCACTTTTAGTAACACTTGTTGGCTAGCTCAGCAACGGGTGAGTTGAACTCTTAAGAGAATTGATATTATTAGGTGAGTTGATCTTCCTGGAGGAGTTAATCTGCCGGTCGAGTTAGTCTCATTGGAGAGTTAATATTTCTAGTTCATCTCAATAGTTAATCTAGTCGAAGTGTTTCATCATCTACCTTAAAACTTGTTGGATATGAAGTTTTTGATGCTTAGGCCATACATAATTGTTTAAATTAAAATTAAAATTTAAAACCAAACAATTTTCCTAGTTGACTTTAACTAAATAAATTTTATATTTTGATTAAATATAATACAAACATAGTTTTCCATCCCTTTAATCATTGGCCACTTCCGCAACCATTGAAGACCGAATAAACAATCGGAATCTCCCCTTGAGGTTTACTGTACTATAACTTAGCACCCTTGGATCTGCCTTTAGATTGCCTCCCTCACCAACAGCGCGAATCTTAAAAAGTATCGAAGGCTGGTAAAATGATAGCATTTAAATATTGTCTCACTTCTCCGGGAAATTTCGTGCATTGGATCTCAACCTCCACGTGGCATTGAATCAGTTGAAATCCCAATTATTTTTTGCTTTACTAACCTCCACGTGGCATTGAATCAGTTGAAATCCCAAATTATTATTATTATTTTTTGCTTTACGAAAATTTCGACCCACGGACCCCTTGGACCCCACTCCACCCAACTCCGGTGGGTCCCACTCCACCCGCTCTCAGGTAAAGCGAGAAGGCAGCGGGAGTGTGAGAGGGACGATTTATGAAACGGAGGCGGCGGCGATGGGCGGAGTAACTTCGGCGATCGCGGCGAAGTTCGCCTTCTTCCCGCCGAATCCGCCTTCGTACACGGTGGTCGCCGGCATGGGGGGCGGAGGGAGACTCGTGATACCGGAGATCTCGCCGGCGGCGAGGGAAGGGGTGGACGTGCTCCGCCTCCGGACGCGCCGGGGAAACGAGATCGTCGCTATCTATGTCAAGCACCCAAGGGCTGGATCCACCCTCCTCTACTCCCACGGCAACGCGGCGGATCTTGGCCAGATGTTCTCCCTCTTCGTTGAACTCAGCGCGCGTCTCCGGATCAATCTCATGGGGTATTTAAATTGCCATCCTATTCCACTTTACCCTAGAGCTGACAATCTTTTTAGTGAATTGTTTGGCTTCTGTGAAATTGGTCCGTAAAGTTAGCAGTATAACATATAGATCGTGCAGGTGAGTTGGGGGGAATTGAGACTGATATTGCCTAGTAATTTTGTAATTGTATCTAGTAAAGCGAAGCGAGGCAGATTTAATATAGTTGCTTGAAATCTTTCTGCGCAAAATACTCAAACGCATGAGTTGCTTTTTGGAATTTTGTTTTGGTTCGACAACTGGGCTCAGGTTTCAGTAGCTGCAAGGCAAGGCTTTATGGTGCTTGGTTTTTTGACGTTTTTTTTTTCTGGCTCTTTTAGAAGAAGATTTATTATAAATTTGTTGGTAAGTTACTTTGCTTTCATCAATTACACCAGAAAGTGTATTCTTCTTTCATTGAAAGTGGACACTTACAACGAATATCTGTAACTATGATATCATGTTATCTATAGTGCTTCCTGGAACAGAATTCATTTTATGGCACAGCAAGGATAGTCAAAATTGTGAAGAGTTTAGCGCGAACCTGTAATTTTGGTATCACAAATACAAATTCACAAGTATTGCGTGAAGAAGTTGCATTTATCATCTGCCTTTTTAATCTTCAAATTAAAATGAATTAGCTATTTTTAAGGGGCTGTCTGGAACGGATTTAGAGCAGGATTTAACCTGGATTTTACCTAAATCCTGCCTGAAGGTCAGTTTGGACAAAATAAAGCTGCAGATTTCATAAATCCGGATTCTGCAGATTTCCAATGTAAAAATTGTGTTTACATACACACCATCCAATTCCCATGTATTTACATATCTAACACCAGAACTTTACTTTTAACATTAAAACCACTCAAATATTCCATATCACATAAATGAAATATCATCATTTTGACTTTTAAAAAGTGAAATACATCTTTTCATGCTTAGTTAAGGTGCATGTATGTAAAAATTGAAGTTTAGGTGTTTTATATGTAAATACATAGAAATTGAGTGGTATGTATGCAAATCTTCCTTTTTCTTTAATTTTGGAAACTTGCTGCATGTAATGAGCCTGGGTTGCATATGAAGTTTTATGTACTACAACTCCTGGTAACCGCATGTCTAAGACAATATTATGTTATACTGTGTTGACATAAGCTTCGCACATAATGCAAATTGAGTGGTATGTATGTAAATCTTCCTTTTTCTTTAATTTTGGAAGCTTGCTGCATGTAATGAGCCTGGGTTGACATTTGAAGTTCTATGTACTACAACTCCTGGTAACCGCATGTCTGAGACAATATTATGTTATACTGTGTTTACATAAGCTTCGCACATAATGTATCTGAAAAGAATGGGAAAAGTATTAATGAAATCATTATTAATATAGAGCTGTGTCAAAATTTATGTGTCTTGTCAACAAAATTCTCTGATCCTGCAACTTAAAAATTTTAAAAACCACTTATATACTATTTGCAATACATGTTTTAGGAAACAAGTGAAATGATCTGAGAAAAATGAAAAAGATAGGAGAATGAGAAGCTCAAGGTAACTATTTTTATTATAACTTTTATAGAACTTAAGAAAATTATTTTGTTGAGCTCAGTTTTTAATTAAAATTTTATTTTATTTGTTTTTATTGATATGTTGATTTATTATTTTTTCAATGCACGCTGGGCCCACGACATAGCATAGAACACTTCCTCTGTAATTTACATAGTGAGGCAGAAGTTAAAATAACTAGTGTTTTGTGCATTGTAGTACACATTGCTCTTTTTTTGTTTCTTTAATGCTTAGAAGTGCTTAATCGAATTTTGTTGATTGCTAGCAATATAGTTACTATATGATTGCTTCAAACTTGCTTGATTAATGTTCTTTGTATTATTCAATTTGTGAAACTGTCATCTTATTGTAAGCTATGTTGCTATATTCATTAGCTATAAAACTTCTTCGAAATATTTAGCCAGAAAACATTGTGCCTTATTTTAACTTTCATGTACATTTGAGCAATATTTTTTTCTCTCCATACGACATTAATGGTAACTTTTTTCATTTTATTTATTTTCCTCTTATATATTGAATTGATAATAAATTATTCATTTTTAAAATTTTTATTATTGTTTAAAATAGTGTGTTTAACACTATAGCTCTATGGAGTTTTTGTGCTATGGTACTCTATTTACTATTGTCAAGTATAATTTTTTCACGTATATGTATAGCTTAAATCACTCATTATGCCTCTCTAGTTTAGAATAAACTAAAACAATAATTGATTTTGACTTTTTAAATTTATCTACTAAATTTATCTATAGGAGTCTTCTGCCTATCTATATACACTGCAGAAATTGAAGTCAAAAACAACCACAGTCAACTATAAGTCAACTTTTCTAGTAGGTTGTTTACTTCCCTACAAACTTTCATGCAACATTACTCGTAGGAGTCTCCCGTCAGCCTACAAGCACTGCAGAATTGCATTAAAAGCAATCGCAATTTGCAGTCATCCAAAAAAATCTCTAAATACTTTAGGGGTTGATTTCGAAGTACCAGATGGCGGCTTGAAGTTCTACCTCACAAAAAATTTCTTGACCATTTTTGATATTTTCAAATCCAAGTTAAACATGGTTGTCAATAATGTTTCAATTTATGGGGGAGTGTTAGAAGTTATATTAGAAAATAATTTATTTCTGTTAGAAGTTATGAGGATCAGTACTTAGATTTTGAGTTATTTCCTTTCTAGATTTATTTTCTTGGATTGGATTTATTTCCTTTTCTATTTTAGACTTTCCTATTATATGTTGTTTCATTTATCTTCAAGTAATTATTATGAATTGATTAACTGGATGTTATTATTCCATTGAATTGTAAAAATCAACAGTCCAACTGCATAGTTACCCAGTTGTCGAACTGGCAAACTGCCTAATTGTTGAAATGGTTGAACTGTCTAGCACGAAACTAGTTGAACTGTCTGTTCAATTGTCGAAGTGGTTGAACTGCCTGGCAGAAAAAATGGTTGAACTGTCTTGTAGGAGAACTGGTTGAACTGGCAAGTTGGAGAACTAATTGAACTGCCTATTAGGAGAATCGGTCGAAGTCTTAGCAGAAAAACTGTCAAACTGTGAAGTTCAACTACATGATGGAACATGACATAAATTTGTATTACATGACATAAAACTACAGTACATGACATAGAGCTGTTGGACATGACATAAATTTGTTAGAAATGACATAAAACTCTTGGATATTACTTAACATTTTGTACCTTTATATAATTTTTTATACCATGAAAAAAAGACACGTAGGGCTTGTAAATAGGGGTCAAGTGTAAAAACTAAAGAGGGCAGGAAGGGGGAGGCAAGGGCTCTCTCTCTCTCTCTCTCTCTCTCTTCCCAAGGGCTCCTCCTCTTCTCTCTCTCTTTCTCCCTCTTCTATTGAATGCTAGTAAGATTTGGGTATAGCCGAAGAACATTACGGGACCCTATATCCTAAAAGGATTCAACATATATGTGGATACATAAGAATTGGGTGGTTTGTATGTAAATGCCCCTTAATTTTTTTATTTAATAGCATGATAATTGCTAAGTGAAATCTTAATGCCAAAACTTTGAAGCCTTGCAACTAACTTTGTAACATTTTCTTGATTAATTATGGCATATGTATCATTTTATATGATATTTACTGATAGAAACAGGTCATCTGAAATCATTATGGATATTTTTTTTGCCAGTTTTTCCTTGAAAATGTGATTTGGATAAGTTTGATTTGCACTTTAGACTCGACTTAAAATCAAAAATATTAACAACTAATGGTTGTTGATTTTATAGCATCTAAGAAATGATAATAAATGAATATTTTCTATTTTGGCATGATGGAAGAGTATATCAAGTCTGCCAGTTTTTTATTTTCAATTTGTATAATAAACTTGTTTCAATAACCAATGTCATTCCATAAACTTTTAACTTCTATTCTTGAGTTTGCAACAGGTCTTTTGCACAAATTAGGGGTGAGAATGATCTAATTTTGACTAGCTTGAAACCGGCTTGTAGAACGAATTGATTGAATTTCGAGCTGGCTAGGCTCAAATCTGCCCAATATTGAATGGGTTCAAATTCCTTTTTTTTATTTTTAAAATTAAAAATTAATATACATATTTGTACATTCATAATTATCATATAAGCATGTACAAAATTATGTAAATATATAATTTTAAAAATATAAATCTTATTTATATTTTGAGTTTATTTTGATCTTACTCGATTTGATCTATGTCTAGCTCGAAATCAAATCAAAGATTGCATTAAGCTGAACCCAATCTGAGCCAAAAATTGATTCAATCTTTGAGATAAAATCTCAGCCAATCCCATTGTCTATTCCCTGCCCTTCTTTTCTTCTTAAATTAATTCTATATGCTCTTTTCTTGATATTCTTTTATCCTCAAATATACAAAAGGTCAAACCACTTAAGTTAACTTTTTTTTTAATTAATTATTTATTTTTCTTTTTCTTTTTTCTTTTTTTAATTAATTTATTTTATTTTATTTACTTAAGTTAGCTAATTGAGTTAACTGATTAATCATTAATAGGTAAAACTATTTTGTTCACACATTCATTTTAATATTCTCATACACACTTCTTTTTTTCCCGTAAATTTTGTTTTACATCACTTGAATTCATAAGATCTAGCTGAAGGAAGTATTTATTTGTCATCAATTCTATCTGCTTATGATGTACTTTCCTTAATCTCTTTAAAAATGAGGTGTTTTTGCTAATAAAGAAAAGATGTTTATTTACATTGTGTTACCTTGTAAATTCTTATTTCCACATTTGGTCTTATTATTGAACTTCATACTTGTTATGTGATTTCTGCAGGTATGATTATTCTGGTTATGGTCAATCCTCTGGGAAGGTTCGAACTTTTTTTTATAAACTTATTCAAAATTCAAATTTTTTAAAAGTCTTAATATTGGTATTAAAAAAAAGGGGCATTTACATACGCAGCACACAATTCTTGTTTATTTTCTTATCTAGCTCCTAAACTGCACTTTTCACATTTATACCACCCAATTCTTTCTTACCAAATAAAAAATACTATCATTTTAAATTTAAAAAAATGAAATACACTTTTCATACATAGGTAAGGTGGTATGTTTGTAAAAATTGAAGTTGAAGTGTTAGAAATGTAAATACATAGGAATCGGGTGGTATGTAAATCTTCCAAAAAAAAAAGCTGCAATAAGATCTATCTTTATTTGATAAAATAGCCCTCGGAATACAATACATACGCCGACATAGATGCCGTCTATGAATGCTTGAAGGAACAGTACTGTGTCGAAGATGAAGATATTATCTTGTACGGTCAATCTGTGGGAAGTGGCCCAACTCTTGATCTCGCTTCACGTCTGCCAAACTTAAGGGCTGTGGTGTTGCATAGTCCTATTCTCTCCGGACTCAGAGTGCTGTATCCAGTCAAACATACTTACTGGTTTGACATTTACAAGGTGATAGCTTTGTCTGTGAAATCCTTTCTAATATTAGATAGCTCAGTTACATTAATTTTGGATTATACAGCAGTAACATTATGCTCCATGATTTTGCAGAATATTGATAAAATAAACCTGGTGAAATGCCCAGCTTTAGTAATTCATGTAAGTAATCTATTTCTACTTGGTTCTATTCCTCCTCCCTTCAAAGCAATGAATGCACTTAGGGGTTGGGTTCACGGGTCGGTTTCTGGTCTAATCTGAAATTGTCCTGACACAACATTGTTTGACCTGAACTCGACCCAATTAGTAAACATGCCAGAAAACACCAAATTGAGCTCGACCCGATTTCAACCCGCCTACTCAAACACAACCTGACCCTTTAATATGAGATATAATAGCTATTTGGGTCAAATTCGAGTTGTTTTCGACTTAAGCTAGAATCATTTTCTTGTTAGCGGGTCACTTTTGGGTTAACGGGGCAGTTTTAGGTCATTTTGGGACAACTGGTCAACCCAAACTGCACCAAAAAATTACACATATTAAAATTCTTAACCCGAACCCAACCTGAAAATTATTTGGGTCAAACCAAACCCAGATTTTTTGAGCTGGGTTCTCGTCGAGTTGGTATGTCAAGTCAATTTGTGACAACCTTCTTGTTTACTTGTGCATTAATTATTTAATTTTCTTTGATATCACAACAACTTTGTAATCAGCATTGAATAAATTCATCTTTGGCCATGAGATCAGTAAACGTGCCTTTTCTTTGATTTGGTCCTTTTTGTTCTCTTTAAAATAAGGACTATACTTGCTTAAAAGAATAGGACTGTGTTATGTAAATGATTATAATACTGATTGGTTTTGATGCAATAGTCTCAAATGGAGCTTTTTTGAGTTTGTAGTGAAACTATTGTATTCTTCATGCATTGAGTTTGACACAGAAATTTTCAGAAATAGATTAACTATAGTTTAACGTTCACTTAAACTTATGGATGCCACTATTATTTCTACAACTAATAGTACAAAATAAGGCCCCAAAATGGAAAAAAATAGTTTTGCTTCGAAGTTCATTTTGTTGGTTCACTTAGGTCAAGCCCGTTTTCCCCAGATTCAGTTCATAGTGTAGCATAAATTTGAGGATGAAGATTAAAAGATTATAAAATCGTTTAGGAAAGTGTTTTGTTTCCTTCCTATTTGAATAGGACAACATGGGACCCCGTAGGCTCAAGCCCTACCAAATTTAATTTGAGAAGCTTAAAAACAGCATTCAATATCTTTGAGAACATATTGGTTTTATCTATAAGATGATAACATTAAGGAGTTTGATTATGTGCACCTTTACTCAAATTGAACATAAAAAGTTAATATTTTATGATTTCACCTTTTATAACATATTAGCATTATCCCAACTATTTCTAATATGTTTAATTATCGGATGGCTATGGTGTATGAACATATGATATTTCGAGAGATTGCTCGGGTGTATGAGTGACTTTACACTTGGTGACAATGCGAAATGAATATATACAAGAAAGGGTTGAAGTAGCTCTAGTGGTAAACATGATTAGAGAGAGTTTCTTTATGTTTTGGTTGCATTAAACGTCAACCATCTAATGACCCAGTTAGGAGAGTAGATGTTTTAAATTTGACTTATGTTCAGAAAGGTAAAGGTACACCTAGAAAGACTTGGGGTTATTGTATAAAAAATAATCTTAATTTATTATAATTAAATAAAAATATGGCACTAAATAGGATACAATGGAGAAAAGGATATCATGTAGCCGACCTCACTTAGTGGGTGAAAGGCTTCTTGTTGTTGTTGTTGTTGTTGTATGGTGCACCCAAATAACTATCAAATGACTTGTTCAAATAACCTGTCTTATACTCAACATTATTAGCAATTAAACAATCATTAGTTTTCGCCTTGCAATTCTGCATTCCTTCTTAGTATATCATGACCAATTAATTCATTATTATTTTTTAAGTCTTCAGGACTATCTAACCTAAAATCAAGGTCATTATCACTAGAATTATCATTTGATGTACTATCCATCATCCCTTATCTTAAGCTTGTCTAATAATATTGAATTTGATATTATTGCTGATAGGAGTAATTCATGCAGAACTAGAAGCTTGAAAGGGATCACAAGGGATTTGTGGAGGTGATCAACTTAAAACGGTGCCGTAAGTTCCCGGAGGTTCTTAGTAGTTGCTACTGAGAAATCTTGAAAATTTAGAACCTTAGTTTTTGTGCACGTTCTACTCGAGGGTTTAGGATGAAGAGCGAATAACAGTTTGTTTAAAGTGTCGTATTGGTTGCATTTCAACATAAACCACTAAGATTTGCTTGCAATCGTGTTTTATATATAGTTTGATAATTTTTATTATCATTAATGGGTGTTATAAAAAATCTTACACCAAAATAGGGAAATAATATGTCAGATTAACAGTGTTCCTTATGAAATTATCATTGAAGGATTCAAGGATTTTGTTATGTAAGTACTCAAATAATATATGTTCGAAAACTTCTAGCGGTCAATTCAGACCATCAGCATAGGCTAGCAGTCATTTAGTATCATCAATTCTCTATCAATTAATATCTAACTAGAAACTTTGGGATTCATGTCATGTAAAAGAACTCAACAAAAGAATGGATTATATATTCAAATCTAGTCAATGTTAATATGAAGCTCATCTATGCCATCTGTTTGTTAAATTATTTGGTCTTCGAAAGTAAGATCTATGTTATTAAGGATCGAACGACTTAAGTTATCTTATTTCATTAGTCAAAGGGCATTTTAGTCATATGTCCTTCATTATTCTTTAGTATAAATATGACTAATATGTTTAGGGTAGAGTTATGCACGAGATAAAGTCTTGTATCCTAGGTTTAGGGCTTGGGAGAGATTTTCTACCTCTTGAATTTTAAGGTTTGGGAGAAAGTCCCTACCTCTCAAATTGTTGGAGTTTATCTTTGTACTTATGTTTGGTTGTTTGAATTGTTGAAGAAAATATTTATTTTGTCCAAATTTATGGTTGGAAATCTGTGGAGTTTCCTATTAAAATGCTTACAAAAATCAACAAACGCGATCAACAGTTCTTTTTCAACTATAAAAACTAGAAATTTCCTATTAAACTATTTTAGCTTAAATTATTTCACAAAAAAAATACTTTCAAATTCCTTAAATAAAGTTTTAAAAAATAAAGCATAAATAGACTAAACCTTGTTATATTTACTGCATAACAGAGAAAACAATAGAAGCAGGAAAAGAAATATAAAATTTAAATTTAATATTTACTAAAATATAAGTTTGAGTGGATGTCAAACACAAATATATTAGCAAACATTGAAATATATTTTTCATTTTTTTTCTTATAAAACTCAAGAGAATTGGAGAGGAGAAAAAGGGGAGATGAAGAGAAGAAAAAAAAAAGTAGAAAAAAGAGGATGAAGAGTAGAAGAGGTGCAGAAGAAGAGAAGAAGATGTAGAGATGAGAGGCATTTGAATGAGGAAAAAAAGAGGTCTTTTTCATGCCCCAATGGTTAGCGAGCAGAGGAAAAGAAGAGGAGATGATCAGAAGACTAAAATTAGAAAAGAGAACATGATGAGGAGAAGAGGTGAAAAAAAGGGGGAGGGAAGGTACATGAGAGGTGTTTGAATGAGAAAAAAATAGAGGTCTTTTCATGCCCCAATGGCTAGCGAGCTTTATTTGGGGAAGGTATTATATCGCCGTTTTAAGCAGAGACAATAGTCCAGATTAGGCAATTGTCACTAGATGAACAGGCCACCAAATCTGATCTTAAGCTTTAACTGTAAAAAAATAAAAAAATTCTTTGTTCATTTAAAAAAAAAATTGTGTCGTTCAATAATTTTTCCGGTTAAAAAAATTGGATTGGCTGGTCATCCTATATTACCTTCTACAACTTTCTTAGACAAAAAATGGTATTATAAGTAAGCAAAAATTTTCACTTTCTTATTGCTGAAATTTTCACTAATTGGTGGTTTTTATACTCAGGTGTCCTATATAAGCTTTTACTAAGACTCCAACCTAGTGGAATATACCTAAAAGAACCTTTCTAAGACATTAGAACAGAACAAAGAGGTTTAGCTTTTTTCATCCTATTTTCTATTTTAATTATTTTATGAGCATTTACATGCATGGCACATAATTCTTATGTATTTACATATCCAGGAGCTAAACTTCATATTTCTGTGCATAGCACCCAAATCTTTAATATCATATAAAAAATAGCATTATTATCACTTTTAAATACACCTTTCATGCATAGGTTTAAAGCACCAAAGTGCTATTTATGTAAACTTGAAAGTTAAAAATGTCAGATATGTAAATACATAAGATTTGTGTTCTACATATGTAAATTTTCCTTTCTTTTATCACTAAAGAATGATGTCTGCTATTGAGGTTATATGTTTGCTAACAAAAACCATTGCAGTAAGCAGTGATGAATGACATGTTTGTGCTCAATACAACCAAAATTAGAGGATGCATGCACTTATGATTAAAGAAAAGTGTCAAAATGATCCCCGACTCTTTATTGTGGGGTTCCAGATTATATGTAAATGTCAATTTAGTCCTCATAATCTCTTAATACGGGTTGAAATAATCCACAAAGAAGATTATTTTAAACCCCAATAAAGTACCTTGACACTAATTTGACATTTTTATAGACTTGGGATTAAAATGGCCCCATGTAAATAATCAGGGGTCTATTTTGACACTTTACTTCTGATGTTTATGGAGTCTTCTTCCACTCATATGATTGCTTTCTTTTTTCCCAGTCAAAATTTCTGATGTCAGAAAAGCTTTTTACAGGGCACATCAGACGATGTTGTGGACTGCTCCCATGGCAAGCGGCTCTGGGAGCTTAGCAAACATAAATATGATCCCCTGTGGCTGAGAGGCGGCGGCCACTGCAACCTTGAGCTCTTCCCTGAGTACATAAAACATCTTAAAAAGTTTGTCGCTTATGTTGCAAAAAGAAAGGCAACAAGCAGCTCCAAGGTGACCGAGACAGATGATAGAGACGAAAACAAACTCGTAGAGAGCCGATCTCCATTGGAAACTACAGAACCCTCGAGTCGTCCGGAGGTCTCAAGAATTAGTTCAGACAATAGAATCAAGAATCCAAATAAAGTTGAACCGCCAGAAAGTCCTGGTTGAGCTCTAACTATACTGAGAAGAGAACAAACGGCTCTATGTGGTAATTCTGCTTTTAAATTTATTTTTATGCTCCTTCTTCCATCCCTCCACTCGTTCCAGATTACAAAGGGAAATGCTCTTTCAAGGGATGATAAGGTGTTCTTCAATCTGAAGCCACAATGCTCCTGATACAGGTTATCGTTTGTCCTTTCTTTATAGAAGTTTGGATTCAATGGAAAAAGCATTATTGTTCATAATTTTGAAAAATGTATTATATTTCATGTTTCTTGTTCATTTGTTAAGGTATGAATACTCTCCTGGGTTGGATTTATGATTTTATTTTATTTACTGACATCTATATTGTAAAGGTGACAGGAAATAGTCTTCTGGAGAGGATTCAATCCCTTATATAACATTTTAAAACAATAACAGATTATTATTCTTTTTCTGCCGCTATATTCTGCTTTTATATTATTTTTCATAGTTTATGTTCTTTTGTACAACTGTAAATTACCATGGTAGACATTTTTTGAATTTGGCCGAAAAAATCATGGCATGTAGACAATTTTTTGAATGAATTCGTTTCATGTGATGGTGCAGGTGCCAAAACATGTTATTTTGATCTTTGAAGAGATAGAATGCAATTATCTAAAATTGAGATCAGGTTTGGTAAATGTTCTTAGAAAATTTATTTCAAATAAATTTTTGAAGAAAAAAGTACTTCATATGTTACTATGTTGCTCTTTTGTCACTATTAGTTCCGTCATTTTAGGATGTAGAAATGAATTTCAAATTTAATGGTTCAATCATTAATTGGAGGAAAAACTTAAGTGTCATTTAGTAAAATGACAAAGCAATTATAGGAACCAGGGGTGTGCATTATTTGGTTTAAACCAAAAGTTCACATCGATTTTGAATTAATTGAATATTGGTTTTTTATCTGATTTTAGGAGAAAAATGTTTGAACCAAAATTGAAACACAATTGTTACTTAAACTAGAGCCAAATGGAATAAATTGAACTACAATATTGTTGGATTTGGTTAGTTGTACTTATGATTTAGTTTATTTACTTTTGTCTATAATTTAATTTTGATTCAGTTTAATTTTACAAATTCATCAATCAATTCAACCAAATTGTTCGAATCCACATCCCTATTGGGAACTTTCACCGCTCAGAAGATTGATGGACATTGATATATATAGTTTTGTTATGAATTTCATTGATCAGAAAATTTTAATTCATTCTTGCCTATTAGATTCTCTTCATTTAAAATTACAATGTGCTTCTCAGGCAATTTATTTTTTTTTTTGAGAAAATTTTGATTTATTCAATGAAGATTAAAGAATTTTAAAAAAAAAAATATTTGTGCGCTGCCTATTTTTAATAATCTGAAGAAAATAGAACTATTGAAGTCATGATATTATAATAGGTATAATGACAAATCTTAGTGATACTATCACCTAGCTCTCAACATATGCCTCTTATTTTAATGATGTCAAGGAGAATAAATAATTTTAAATCATATCATTATAATAATTTTCATGAAAGACATAAATAATGCCTTGATGGATTGGGAAGGCTTCGTAGATGTCTTATGATAACACTCTAACATGAATAAGGGTTGTGTGGGACTCATTATGGCCCTACAAGCCAAGGCTGTTAAATAGCGGATCACTCTTCTCGCTCTCTCTCTCACACACGTGTGTATATATATATATATATATATATATATATTGGAATAACATTAAATCTGATTAGCACGTTCATGTGATTGATTAAAAATCTAGATGAGTTGAGCAAGGAGTCAATGGAGTTGATTAAAGTTGTCATGATTGGGCAAAATTAATGGATCACATTTTTCAATGAGTTTGTATCTTTGTCATGCGAAGTTAAGAGTGCTAATATGGAGTCAATCATTAAGGTTGACACATTGTGGTGTTTGTGCAAGATAATTGTGATCAGCTATTTTTTACCGAGATATATTGAGTTCATCAGTGTTTGATTGAATTGGCATTGTTGATCAACCATGATTAGGTTAATTTATTGAACCCCTAGGTTACTTTTAGTGGAAATTGAGGCTACTTCCTCTCCCAAGATGTTGACATATAGGAACCCAAGTTGGTCATTTTGTTATCACAAGATTTTTTAGATGTCAGTAGTTGTCCTTAATTGACGTCCAATGTTCTTAAGGCACAACATATTCATTATCCTCATTCTAGGTAATTTTACTTCTTTGTCAATTTTTCTTCTTTGTTTTATGGAGATTATTTGTGTATTTATTTCCATCAATTGTTTTTGTATTTTGTGTTGACATTAAAATCAGTTGTATATTGAACTTTGTGACTCAGTCGGCGAGCATATTAAGCTATTAGAGACAATTATCCAGCTAATTGTGAAGAATAAAGGATGAAGGCCTCCAAATGGGTTAGCTATTACAATTGATTTTTAGTTCAGTGCTTCTTAATGGACTTATTTGATTGTAGTCCTAATTTATATGGATAGCTTGTGGAATAAGGTTGGTCTTTTTTTATTCTATGTTTTTTTCTCGTAGTGAACATATTGGAGGGAAAGCTTGATATAGCCAAACTATGTATTAATGACAAGAATGACGGGTTATCTAAGATGGTAAAATAAAATTCCATCGAAAATTGCTATAATTGAAGTTTCTCAATAAAATTAGGCATGGAAGAGAACTAAAAATAATAAAAAGCAAAGTGCAAAGCAACAGAGAGCAAAGAACATTAGGTTTAGTGTGGTTCAGTCATGTTGATTTATATCCACTGATGTTCTCTTGATTATTATAGAAATTGTTTTTATACAAAAAAACTCTGTTAAGTAGAAAAAAACAACAGTTAATAAAAAATAATAGATTTTAATATTTAAAATATCAAAGTTCTTTGAGAGGTCCTTCCCATGGTCTTTGAATGAGTTTTTAAACTAGTTTTTTATTTTCCCTGACATTTGATGTTATTACTAAGCTTGTTGATTGGTGGATAATATATTGGTTAAGGAGAACTTAAATATTATAATCATTTTGAATTTAATTGGGTAATGATGTGCAGTTATTTCTTTTTTATTCTACCTCCCAATAAACATACCTAGGTCAAGGCAAAAATCCCTAGAGATTGTGATGAAGGTCCCAACTTGAAATAAGATTTCTCAAAAAAGGGATACTTTTGACCATCATTGTCATTGTGTCTCATATGGAGCTGAAATGCAATCATTTAAAAAGTGTGGAAATTGAGTAGTACATTTCCAACCATTTAAAAATTCTATGGAGATTTGATCTGGATTTTGGAATGTTCATTTGTTCATCACTGTATTCTTTATTGTAATCATTATTTCCATGAGTACAATTACCAATGATGAAGCATTTTCAGAAGGTTATGGAAGAATGATGATAAATAAGAAGTAACTCCAGATAAATCGAATCTAAAGGGATTTGAAGGTGGATCAGCGCCTCTTAATGAAATAGTGAACAAGTTATGGAAACTTAGTGAGCTCATTAAAGAAACGTCTACCACCACTTGGTTGTTGCTCAAGCAATTGGAGTAGTGTCTCATGTTCTTGTTGGAGGTGTTAAGATGTTTCTGAGGAATAAGCTCTTAGGGTAAAGGGGAAAACATTATCCTCTTTTCCAATTGAAATTGAGAAGTTTTAATTAAAATGAGATGTGGGTTGGCATGAAGATCCTGAGGAAGCTCTTCCTAATTCCTTGGGATTGTCGTCGATTCCTCTAGTTTTGTCAATCTATGAGAAGTTCCTTTCATCTTCTAGGGATGCCCCCCTTCAAAATTGAAAGTGGGCCACTGAATCCCTTTTTATAGTGGAGAGGGCTAGTGTTGTGGTGGACCTAGTGGCCCTTGAAATAAGTTGAAGGTAAATAGCATTGATCTGGGGGATGATTAAGTAATTATTGCACTGAAATTTCATTTCGGGATTGATTTTGCTACTATATTAGATTTTCATAGAAAAGTTGGATAAAATTGAGGTATCTTCTTCTGTCGTTGTTGATGTTCTCTCGGTTATTATGATTGCTTCTTTGTTTTTCATCTACTAATCACACAATAGATTTGAAATACATGGGAAAGAAGCCCCCAAGATTGTGATAAAGTCTTTGAAACAAAAAACTTTTGAAATCAAGATATTTGTAATTCAAGAGAAAAGGGTTCTTGAAGATTTCCTAATGTGATCTTCCTCCTTATTGTTGATTTAACTTATAAGAGCCAACAAAGCAAGTATGTTGTGAGTTACTAAGTAATTTAGATTAGGATCGATTAAAGCAAGTATTTACCGGTCCTTCTTTTGATTGCATGAGGATGGAGGTAATAAAAATCGTAGTGTATCCATGAGAATTTCACACTATCATTGTGAATGAGTCATACAAGTCATCATATTGCAGAGAAGATTATAACTCAACAATGAAGCTTGGAGCTTACACCCTTGAGAATGGGCCTGTATGTTCTTTAATTTCCAAAAAAACAAAAAAATAGTTGTTGGGTGTAATGCAATTGCCTAGCTTCTTGCAACTAAGGCGAGCACATTGTGTCATTGGCATAAACTTGGCCATAATAATTATAAGGTTGCTTATGACAGCCATGGCAACCAAAGCTAAGTTTGAGGAGTTGATTAGAAAGTTGAGAAGCCTGAGAATTTTATCTTGTAAAAGGTCAGATTTCCTTGCCTTAACATGATTATATTCTAAAAAATGGTGAAGAAGATTATGATGCTAAAGGAATTATAGATAAATAAAACGAATTTCAACACCAAATGCATGGCCATTTTTCAATCGCTATTAGAAGTAATGGCCTTCTCTTGCAAACCAGGTGGCTCTTTTTAAGGCCAAAGTTCTTGAGACTAAGGACAAGCTATGGTTAAGGTTTCTTCTCTATGGGTTGAACTTATTCATGCTAAGGAGCATTGTGATGCCAATATATTATCCTTAAGAGATAAGCTTCTTCACAATAAAGAGGAATATGTTAGCAAGGTCGCCTTATTGAAAAGTTGAGTTATTATAGAATAATGTGCTTCTAGCCTTGGGTGTCTGGATCAACAAACCAATTGAAAGAGTTTGAGTAGTATTTGCATGTTCGATGTTCGATGTGCACATAGTTTGGAGATATGCCCACATTATATATGATGTTTTAGAACCTATGATCTTTACAAGTAGTACAAGGATTGTAGTATTAGGCTAAACTTAGATGTAGACATAAATAAAGGAGAATGAATTGTAGTTTATTGCTTCTTTTCTAATGTATTTTCTATATTTTTTTATAGCATCTTCTTATCCTTTGTTATATAATTGTGCATAAAGGGAATCATGTCTTGTAACTCTTAAGGATGTTTTATAACAAAAAGAAGAATATAGGATTTAGATTTTATATAAAACCTTGCATGTTTTATTCTATGCACTCGTGAAAAGCATGTACCATGTTTCTTTGAACTTTATTTATC